CTGCGGCTTCAAAGGAGTGCCGGAGATTACCCTAATCAGAGGCTGAGACCGAGTCGAGGGTGAAAACAAGCGGAATCTGACCCCTAGCCAAGGCTGACCTTGAACATAAGCTGACTCTAAACGGAGGTTGACCCCAAACCAAGGCTAACAATAAGCAGAGGTTGACCCCGGGCGGAGGAGGTTGACCCCAAACCGAGGCCGACCCCGAGTGGAGGCTGACTCTAAGTCAAAATGGTCGTCTCTACGCTGGACTGATAGTTTAATTTGCTGTTCCTTCTATCAGTATTCGACAATGATTTTGCCTACTAACCACTTGTAAATACGTCGTTGCCTACTTTAGTCATCAGTTTCCATGTCCATACACAAGGAAATTAATCACTCTGGACACATTTTCCTAAGATATGAACTCTAGGAAATGCATTATTGCTCACTTGAACTCAACCCTTGCCCTTTGAAGCAGAGTTTCCAGCACGTGACCTTGAGCCGTTTCGCGATTGGTTGTAGGCGGGAGCGTCAGCGTCTCGCGTGCTATATAAGAACCGACCGCCGTCGTTTGGCCACGGTCGCCTGTGATTCCCGACGGATATGAAGACCCTGGTGAGTTTTGGATTTCTTTGGGCGGATCTCAGTGTTCAGCACTGATCTGAAGTTTAATGCTGATTAAGTTCATGAGTTTTGCACAAATATAACAATAGAGTTTAATGCTGAAAGAGAAAGCCCACGTAGATTTAAATTTATTTCATTTATAGAAATTTATGTAAAGACGAATGGCCTCCATGGTCTTCAGGCGTATGAACTATCGCGGAAATGACGTTTTTGCAGGTCATCGCTGTTGCCTTCGTGGCGTATGTCGCTGTCAGTGTCAGCGGTGATCCTGAAGCTGATGCTGAGCCCAGCCGCTATGGAGGTGGCTTCGGAGGCCATGGGCTCGTGTCCTACAGGCCCGTGTACAGCGGCTACGGATACAGACGCTGGAAGAGGAGTGCTGAGGCTGAGCCTGTAGCTGAGGCTGAGCCCGAAGCTGATCCTTCCCGGTTCGGATACGGCTATGGCAGCTATGGACACGTGTCCTACAGACCCGTGTACAGCAGCTATGGTTACGGACGCTGGAAGAGGAGTGCTGAGGCTGAGCCTGTAGCTGAAGCTGAGGCTGAGCCTGAAGCTGATCCTTCACGCTTCGGTTATGGGTATGGCGGCTATGGACACGTGTCCTTCAGGCCCGTGTACAGCAGCTATGGTTATGGACGCTGGAAGAGGAGTGCTGAGGCTGAACCTGTAGCTGAGGCTGAGCCCGAAGCTGATCCTTCTCGCTTCGGATATGGGTATGGCAGCTATGGACACGTGTCCTTCAGGCCCGTGTACAGCAGCTATGGATACGGACGCTGGAAGAGGAGTGCTGAGGCTGAGCCCGGATTCAGCTTCGGTCGCGGCTTCGGAGGTCACGGTCGCTTCGGTGGCTACAGGGGCTATGGAGGCTACGGCGGGAGCTTTGGAGGACATGGTCGTTTCTATGGCTGAAGAATTTTGGTTCGAGGAAGATGAATAAAACTGAGCAATTTCAATTATCATCTTTTTTCTTTACACTCATCCTCTCGATTATTGCATATGGCATACACATGCAGTTTACATACATATACGCAGTTAACATTAGTCATGCATAAGAAAATTCCTGTAATCCGAATTCAGATTTGGTTTTCCTTTTACTCTAAACTGAAAGTAATATAGAAAGAAGTTATGCACATCTTTTTCTGAAGTTGAAAAGGTATCGATTTACAAATTCAAGAAAATGCTAACAGCACAAAAATTACCACACTAATAGCTGATCGCAAAAAAAGGGAATGAGAAGTGAATGATAAACAGTATTAGTATGAAGGTAACAAATGCAACAATAACAGTTCATTGTGGATAAAAAGAAAAGTGTTTTCTTCGGATTCCACTGAGGAGCAGTTGTGTATATATGCATACACTCCTACACATACATATACACACGCATTATGTATATACATATGCATACATTACCATTCCCCCCGACCTGCTGAGGGGTGTGGTCATCCCTCTCTGGAAGGGGAAAGGGGATCGGTGGGACTGCAGCAATCACCGAGGCATTACACACCTCAATGTACCAGGCAAGGTACTCGCCCACATCTTACTGAGACGTATCAGAGACCACCTCCTGAGGCACCAAAGACCGGAGTAATCTGGGTTCACTCATGGTAAGTCCACAATAGATCGTATCCTGGCGCTTCGAGTCATTGTAGAGCGCCGTCGTGAGTTCGGACGTGGGCTGCTCGCAGCCTACATCGACCTCAAGAAGGCGTTTGATACGGTGCATCGCGAATCACTGGGAGATATTGATACTAAGAGGAATTCCAACAAGGATTGTTGGGCTAATAGCAAACCTGTATACAGGCACTGAAAGTGCTGTAAAGTGTGGCGGGGGCCTGTCGAGCTTCTTTCCTGTTAGTTCAGGTGTGAGGCAAGGCTGTGTTCTTGCACCAACACTTTTCAACGCTTGCATGGATTGGATACTGGGTAGAGCTACTGTCCAAAGTCACTGTGGAGCAACTCAGGGCAATATCAAGGTTACAGACCTTGACTTTGCTGATGATGTTGCCATTCTTTCTGAATCTCTGGAAGCCCTAGTGGCGGCTCTTGATGCATTTAGCAATGAAGCGAAGCCCCTGGGGCTAGAGGTCTCCTGGACCAAGACCAAGATCCAGGATTTTGGGGGCCTACTAGGAGACCCTGTGCAGTCGGTACGTGCTTGCGGTGAAAACATCGAAGTCATAAGGAGTTTTATATACCTCGGTAGTGCAGTTCATGACTCTGGGCTGTCAGACCAGGAAGTCAGTAGACGGATTGGCCTGGCAGCAGGGGTCATGAAATCTCTCGACAAGAGTATTTGGAGATGCCGGTACCTGTGCAGAAGGAACAAGCTACGAGTTTTCAAGGCCCTGATACTGCCAGTTTTACTATATGGTAGTGAAACTTGGACGCTATCTTGTGCTTTGGAATCTCGTCTCGATGCCTTTTGTAACAGATCCTTGCGCCGGATCATGGGGTACAGTTGGCGGGACCATGTGTCCAACCAACAGCTACACCGCGAGACCGGTACAGGACCCGTTACTTGCACAATCCGTGATCGCCAACTCAGGCTATATGGCCACTTGGCTCGATTCCCGTAGGATGATCCTGCCCATCAGGTTGTCTCTGTTCGAGACAACCCTGGGTGGAGGAGGCCTGTGGGACGACCGAGAAGGTCGTGGCTTGGGCAGATCGATCAAACCTGTCGTGAGTCTCTCATGGCGAGCCTGGCGGCTCGCCATGAGAGACCCTCGCAGGTGGAAGCGAAGGGTGGACGCGGCTATGCGCCCCTACCGGCGTAAGCCCCCCAATGATGATGATGATATATATACATGTAGGTATGTGTCTTGTATAGATGTACGTATGTTTATATAAGTACATATATGTAAATAAAAATAAGTATATATACATATGCATATGAATATGAACATATACATATATACATATGCATACGAATATGTACATATGCATGTATACATATGCATGAGAATATGAACATACATATATGCATATTTTTATATTTGATTATATATATATATGTGAATATATATATAATATTCATATATATACATATATATTGTATATAAACATATATACATGTATATCATATATACTATATATATATATGCACAGATACAAACACGGACACACATACATGTGTGTGTTTGTGTGTATGTATGAACGACATGCAGCTACCGAGTGAATGAGAAATGTGTATATGGGTGTGTACGCGCGCGTCCGTGCATATTCGTCTGTGTATGTATGTATGGCGACACGTAGCTGCTGCGGCTTCGAGTGCTGAAGGAGTGCCGGAGCCTACCCCGATCGGAGGCTGAGCTCGAGCAGAGGCTGACCCCAATCCAAGGTTGACCTTGAGAAGAAGCTGACTCTAAAGGGAGGTTTACCCAGGGAAGAGGAGGCTCACTCCAAGCAGAGGTTGACCCCGGGCGGAGGAGGCAGACCCCAAACCGAGGCCGCCCGAGGATGACTCTGGGCTACGGCGCCGCGGTGTCCTTCGGGATAGATGGGATCCTGAGGACGCCGTTGTTCCAGCCGCTTCGAGTGTGCGCTGCCCTTGGGGAGTGGGGAGGGGGAGGGGGGGGTGAGAACATTTTGGGCCTTTGTTACCGGGGCAAGTATGGGGAATAGGTTATGGGTAAGCGTGCATGTACGCATGCATACATACACAAATATATATAGATAAATAAATAGATATACATATCTATATATCTAGAAAGAGGGAAAGTATACATTTATTTGTCTGTGCACACACTTACATATATGTGTATATGTATGTATGTATACATATACTCATATATATATGCTTATTATACCTATATATATGTATATGAATGCATTATATATACATATATAGATCTTCATATATGTAAATACTTGTATTTATATTCATAAACATGCATACACACGTGCATATGTATATACAACTATATATGTATATATATACATATATGTAAATATACACACACACACTCACATATACACATATATACAAATATATATGTATATGTATATATACATATACATGTATATATATTTATACATGTATATTTATACACATACATGCATTAATGCACACACACATATATACTATATGCTTGTTTATCTAAATAAGAGGAGGCTGACCACGAACGAAGGAGGCAGACCCCGTGAAAACTTCAGACATGGTCGTCTCTACGCTGGACTGAATTAATTTGCTGTCCCTTCTTTTAGTATTAGACGATGATTTTACCTCCTAACCACTCATAAATACGTCAATGTCTACTTTAGTCAAGAGAGCGTTTAATCACCATCATACCAATTTCCATGGCCATACACAAGGAAATGATGAATCACACTGGACCTTGGGCCGTTTCACGATTGGCTACAGGCGGGAACGTCAGCGTCTCGTGTGGTATATAAGAGCCGAGCGCCGTCGTTTGGCCACGGTCGTCTGTGATTCCCGACGGATATGAAGACCCTGGTGAGTGAGTACGAATTTCAGTGGAGTCGATTCACTAAAGTTCATTGTTGAAAGTGAAAGCTCACGTAGACTTAAATTGCTTTCTTTTACAAGAATATTTATGTAAAGTCTGATGACTTTAGACGTACGAATTAACGTGAAATGACGTTCTTACAGGTCATCGCTGTTGCCTTCGTGGCGTATGTCGCTGTCAGTGTCAGCGGTGATCCTGAAGCTGATGCTGAGCCCAGCCGCTATGGAGGTGGCTTTGGAGGCCATGGGCTCGTGTCCTACAGACCCGTGTATAGCAGCTACGGATACGGACGCTGGAAGAGAAGTGCTGAGCCTGTAGCTGAGGCCGAGGCTGAGCCCGAAGCTGATCCTTCCCGCTTTGGATACGGCTATGGCAGCTATGGGCACGTGTCCTTCAGGCCCGTGTACAGCAGTTACGGTTATGGACGCTGGAAGAGGAGTGCAGAGGCTGAGCCTGTAGCTGAGGCTGAGCCCGAGGCTGATCCTTCTCGCTTCGGATACGGCTATGGCAGCTATGGGCACGTGTCCTACAGGCCTGTGTACAGCAGCTACGGATACGGACGCTGGAAGAGGAGTGCTGAGGCTGAGCCCGGATTCAGCTTCGGTCACGGCTTCGGAGGTCACGGTCGCTTCGGTGGCTACAGGGGCTATGGAGGCTACGGCGGGAGCTTTGGAGGACATGGTCGTTTCCATGGCTGAAGAATTTTGGTTCGATGAAAATGAATAAAACTGAGCAATTTCATTCATTTCTTTTTTTTACACACCATCTCAATAATTATATGTGACACATACAATATGTGTAAAAATCCAATTAACATACATATACACAGTTAACATTAGTCATGCATAAGAGAATGAGGAATCACAACACCGGGAATCGTGATTCCAGTAATCTAAATTCAGATTTGCACTTCCTTTTACTCTAAACTGAAAGAAATATTAAGTCGAAAAGGTATCGATTTACAAATTCAAGAAAATGCTACCATAGCAAACACATACGCAAAAATGACAAAATAAATAGCTGATCGAAAATTTTAAAAATACCCCCAAAAAAGGAAGAGAACGAGAATGAGAAGTGAGAGATAAACAGTATTATGAAGGTAATAAAAACAATAAAGGGTTTCATTGTGCATAAAAAGGAAAGTGTTTTCTTCAGAGTCCACCGAGGAGCTGTATATATATACATATTTCATACACAGACATATACATACACACTTATATGTATATATACATATACACACTTATACATGTGTGTATATGTAAGTGTATCTATAAACACATCTATATATAAATATATAAACATATATTTGACATATATCACATATGTATAAGTATATATATACACATTTTTTTTTAAACAGCCATTCATTCCACTGCAGGACATAGGCCTCTCTCAGTTCAGCATTGAGAGGTTATATGGCAGTGCCACCCTTGCCTGAGTGGATGCCCTTCCTAATCAACAGTAGTTCGGCGCGCTAACTCTTGAGGCACGGCGGTGACTTTCCCTACGACACCTGCGTTTGACTTCTCAAGGCGATATGTCATTTTCTCGGGCTCGAGCCAGCAATCAGAGCGTAGGCATTTTTACGACCGCCACGACGAGGAATTGAACCCGGGACCACGAGGGTCGGAGTCCAGTGCTCTAACCAATGAGCTATCGCGGCAGCCATACACACACACACACATATATATAAATATATATGTATATATGTATATATATATATGTATATATACATACGTTTATACATGTGTGTGTGAAAAATACGAATATATATATATGGATATACATGAATATATATACATATATACATATATATATATATACATGTATGTATGTTTTGTATATATGTACGTATCTATATATAGGTACATACATATATACCAAATATGTATATATACATATGAATCTAGATGTTTATATAGGTTTATATACAGTATCCATATAAATATCTTCATACATATATATATTATATGTATACACAGACTTATATACACTCACGCGTACATATACATATGTGTATATGCATGTATGTGTGTATGACCGACCTGCTGCTGAGAGATGTGTATGTGTGCATCCACGCGCGTGCACGTGTATATGTGTGTGTATGTATGACTAACATACAGCTGCTACGGCTTTGAGTGCTGAAGGAGTGCGGAAGACTACCGCGATCGGAGGCTGAACACGAGTAGTGGTTGACAACAAGCAGAAGTTGACCCCTAGCCAATGTTGACCTTGAGCATTGGCTGATCCCGAACGGAGGAGGCTAACTTTAAACGGAGGCTGACCCCAAACTGGGGTTGACAATAAGCAGAGGTTGACCCCAGGCGGAGGAGGCTCATTCTAAGCGGAAGCTGACCCCGAGCAGAGGAGGCTGACAATAAGCAGAGGTTGACCCCAGGCGGAGGAGGCTGACCCCGAGTGGAGGATGCTGACTGTAAGCTGGACTGATAGTTTAATTTGCTGTTCCTTCTATCAATATTCGACATTTAATCACAATTATCAATTTTCATGTCCATACACAAGAAAATAGTAAATCACTCTGGACACATTTCCCTAAGATATGAACTCCAGGAAATGCAAAATTGCTCACTTGAACTCAACCCTTGCCCTTTGAAGCAGAGTTTCCAGCACGTGACCTTGAGCCGTTTCGCGATTGGTTGTAGGCGGGAGCGTCAGCGTCTCGCGTGCTATATAAGAACCGACCGCCGTCGTTTGGCCACGGTCGCCTGTGATTCCCGACGGATATGAAGACCCTGGTGAGTTTTGGATTTCTTTGGGCGGATCTCAGTGTTCAGCACTGATCTGAAGTTTAATGCTGATTAAGTTCATGAGTTTTGCACAAATATAACAATAGAGTTTAATGCTGAAAGAGAAAGCCCACGTAGATTTAAATTTATTTCATTTATAGAAATTTATATAAAGACGAATGGCCTCCATGGTCTTCAGACGTATGAATTATCGCAGAAATGACGTTCTTGCAGGTCATCGCTGTTGCCTTCGTGGCGTATGTCGCTGTCAGTGTCAGCGGTGATCCTGAAGCTGATGCTGAGCCCAGCCGCTATGGAGGTGGCTTCGGAGGCCATGGGCTCGTGTCCTACAGGCCCGTGTACAGCGGCTACGGATACAGACGCTGGAAGAGGAGTGCTGAGGCTGAGCCTGTAGCTGAGGCTGAGGCTGAGCCCGAAGCTGATCCTTCCCGCTTCGGATACGGGTATGGCGGCTATGGCCACGTGTCCTACAGGCCCGTGTACAGCAGCTATGGTTACGGACGCTGGAAGAGGAGTGCTGAGGCTGAGCCTGTAGCTGAAGCTGAGGCTGAACCTGAAGCTGATCCTTCACGCTTCGGTTATGGGTATGGCAGCTATGGACACGTGTCCTTCAGGCCCGTGTACAGCAGCTATGGTTATGGACGCTGGAAGAGGAGTGCTGAGGCTGAACCTGTAGCTGAGGCTGAGCCCAAACTGAGGCTGACAATAAGCAGAGGTTGACCCCAGGCGGAGGAGGCTCATTCTAAGCGGAAGCTGACCCCGAGCAGAGGAGGCTGACAATAAGCAGAGGTTGACCCCAGGCGGAGGAGGCTCATTCTAAGCGGAAGCTGACCCCGAGCAGAGGAGGCTGACAATAAGCAGAGGTTGACCCCAGGCGGAGGAGGCTCATTCTAAGCGGAAGCTGACCCCGAGCAGAGGAGGCTGACAATAAGCAGAGGTTGACCCCAGGCGGAGGAGGCTCATTCTAAGCGGAAGCTGACCCCGAGCAGAGGAGGCTGACAATAAGCAGAGGTTGACCCCGGCGGAGGAGGTTGACCCCAAACCGAGGCCGCCCGAGGATGACTCTGGGCTACGGCGCCGCGGTGTCCTTCGGGATAGATGGGATCCTGAGGACGCCGTTGTTCCAGCCGCTTCGAGTGTGCGCTGCCCTTGGGGAGTGGGAGGGGGAGGGGGGGTGAGAACATTTTGGGCCTTTGTTACCGGGGCAAGTATGGGGAATAGGTTATGGGTAAGCGTGCATGTACGCATGCATACATACACAAATATATATATATATATATATATATATATATATATACATATATACATATATACAAATATATATGTATATATGTATATATGTATGCATATATACATGACTATATATACATATATACATGAATATATATACATATATATATATATATATACATATATACATGAATATATATACATATATACATATATACATGAATATATATACATATATATATATATATATATACATATATATATATATATATATATATATACATATGCATATGAATATGTACATATACATATATACATATATACATGAATATATATACATATATACATGAATATATATACATATATACATGAATATATATACATATATATATATATATATATATATATATATATATATATATATATATACATATATATATGAATATATATAATATTCATATATATTGTATATAAACATATATATACATGTATATCATAAATACTGTATATATACACATACAAACACGGACACACATACATGTGTGTTTGTGTGTATGTATGTATGAACGACATGCAGCTACCGAGTGAATGAGAAATGTGTATATGGGTGTGTGTACGCGCGCGTTCCAGCCGCTTCGAGTGTGCGCTGCCCTTGGGGAGTGGGGTGGGGGGTGAGAACATTTTGGGCCTTTGTTACCGGGGCAAGTATGGGGAATAGGTTATGGGTAAGCGTGCATGTGCGCATGCATACATACACAAATATATATAGATGAATAAATAGATATACATATCTATATATCTAGAAAGAGGGAAAGTATACATTTATTTGAGCACACACTTACATATATGTGCATATGTATGTATACATATACTCATATATATATGCTTATTATACATATATGTATATAAATGCATTATATATACATATACAGATATTTATATATGTAAATACTTGTATTTATATTCATAAACATGCATACACACGTGCATATGTATATACTATATATGTATATATATACATATATATATGTAAATATACACACACACACTCACATATACACATATACACATATACAAATATATATGTATATATACATATACATGTATATATATTTATACATGTATATTTATACACATACATGCATTTATGCACACACACACATATATATACTATATGCTTGTTTATCTATATAAGAGGAGGCTGACCACGAACAAAGGAGGCAGACCCCGTGAAAGCTTCAGACATGGTCGTCTCTACGTTGGACTGAATTAATTTGCTGTTCCTTCTATCAGTATTAGACAATGATTTTATCTCCTAATTCGTAAATACGTCAGTGTCTACTTTAGTCAAGACCATACATAAGGAAATGATGAATCACACTGGACCTTGGGCCGTTTCACGATTGGCTACAGGCGGGAACGTCAGCGTCTCGTGTGGTATATAAGAGCCGAGCGCCGTCGTTTGGCTACGGTCGTCTGTGATTCCCGACGGATATGAAGACCCTGGTGAGTGTCGGATATATTTGGGCGAATTTCAGTGTAGTCGATTCACAAAAGTTCATTGTTGAAAGTGAAAGCTCACGTAGACTTAATTTCTTTTCTTTTTTTTTCTACAAAAATGTATTTATATAAAGTCTGATGCCTTTAGACGTAGGAATTAACGTGGAAATGACTTTCCTGCAGGTCATCGCTGTTGCCTTCGTGGCGTATGTCGCTGTCAGTGTCAGCGGTGATCCTGAAGCTGATGCTGAGCCCAGCCGCTATGGAGGCGGCTTTGGAGGCCATGGGCTCGTGTCCTACAGACCCGTGTATAGCAGCTACGGATACGGACGCTGGAAGAGAAGTGCTGAGCCTGTAGCTGAGGCCGAGGCTGAGCCCGAAGCTGATCCTTCCCGCTTCGGACACGGGTATGGCAGCTATGGGCACGTGTCTTTCAGGCCCGTGTACAGCAGCTACGGATACGGACGCTGGAAGAGAAGTGCTGAGCCTGTAGCTGAGGCCGAGGCTGAGCCCGAAGCTGATCCTTCCCGCTTCGGATACGGCTATGGCAGCTATGGGCACGTGTCCTACAGGCCCGTGTACAGCAGCTACGGTTATGGACGCTGGAAGAGGAGTGCTGAGGCTGAGCCTGTAGCTGAGGCTGAGCCCGAGGCTGATCCTTCCCGCTTCGGATATGGGTATGGCGGCTATGGACACGTGTCCTTCAGGCCCGTGTACAGCAGCTACGGTTACGGACGCTGGAAGAGGAGTGCTGAGGCTGAGCCCGGATTCAGCTTCGGTCGCGGCTTCGGAGGTCACGGTCGCTTCGGAGGCTACAGGGGCTATGGAGGCTACGGCGGGAGCTTTGGAGGACATGGTCGTTTCCATGGCTGAAGAATTTTGGTTCGAGAAAGATGAATTAAACTGAGCAATTTCATTCATTTAATTTTTTTTACACACCATCTCAATAACTGTATATGTGACACAAAGTATGTGTTAAAATCCAGTTCACATACATATACACAGTTAACATTAATCATGCATAAGAGAATGAGGAATCACAACACCAGGAACCGTGATTCCAGTAATCTGAATTCAGATTTGCACTTCCTTTTACTCTAAACTGAAAGAAATATCAAGCCGAAAAGGTATCGATTTACAAATTCAAGAAAATGCTAACACAACAAACATATACGCAAAAATGACAAAATAAGTAGCTGATCGAAAATTTTAAAAATACCCCCAAAAAAGGAAGAGAACGAAAATGAGAAGTGAGAGATAAACAGTATTATGAAGGTAATAAAAACAATAAAGGGTTTCATTGTGCATAAAAAGGAAAGTGTTTTCTTCAGAGTCCACCGAGGAGCAGTATATATATACATACTTCATACACAGACATATGCATACACATATATATATACATATACACACATACTTATACATGTATGTATATGTAAGTGTATCTATATACACATCTATATATAAATATATAAACATATATTTGACATATACTCACATATGTATAAGTATATATATATACACACATATATATATATTTTAAACAGCCATTCATTCCACTGCAGGACATAGGCCTCTCTCAATTCAGCATTGAGAGGTTATATGGCAGTGCCACCCTTGCCTGACTAGATGCCCTTCCTAATCAACCGCGATTCGGCGCGCTAACACTTGAAGCACGGCGGTGACTTTCCCTACGACACCTGCGTTTGACTTCTCAAGGCGATATGTCATTTTCTCGGGCTCGAGCCAGCAATCAGAGCGTAGGCATTTTTACGACCGCCGCGACGGGGAATTGAACCCCGAGGGTCGGAGTCCAGTGCTCTAACCAGTGAGCTATCGCGGCAGTCATACACACACACATATATAATTATATATGTATGCATTTATACATACATTTATACATGTGTGCGTGAAAAATATGAATAAATATATATGGATATATATGAATATGTATGCATATACATATATACATATATATACATGTATGTATGTTTTGTATATATGTACGTATCTACATATAGGTACATACATATATACCAAATATGTATATATACATACAAATATGGATATATATGTACACATACACATTTTGTATTTATATCTATAATTATGTATATGCCTATACATATGAATCTAGATATTTATATAGGTTTATATGCAGTATCCATATAAATATTTTCATACATATATATATTATATGTATACACAGACATATATACAAACATTCACGCATACATATACATGTGTGTATGTGCATGTATGTGTGTATGACCGACCTGCACACACATATATACGCGTGCGCGTATATATGTGTGTGTATGACTGACTGACATACAGCTGCTGCGGCTTTGAGTGCTAAAGGAGTGCGGAAGACTACCGCGATCGGAGACTGAACACGAGTAGTGGTTGACAACAAGTAGAAGTTGACCCCTGGCCAAGGTTGACCTTGAGCAATGGCTGATCCCGAACGGAGGAGGCTAACTCTAAACAGAGGCTGACCCCAAACTGAGGCTGACAATAAGCAGAGGTTGACCCCGGACGGAGGAGGCTCATTCTAAGCGGAAGCTGACCCCGAGCAGAGGAAGCTGACAATAAGCAGAGGTTGACCCCGGACGGAGGAGGCTCATTCTAAGCGGAAGCTGACCCCGAGCAGAGGAAGCTGACAATAAGCAGAGGTTGACCCCAGGCGGAGGAGGCTGACCCCGAGTGGAGGATGCTGACTCTAAGTCAAAATGGTCGTCTCTAAGCTGGACTGATAGTTTAATTTGCTGTTCCTTCTATCAATATTCGACATTTAATCACAATTATCAATTTCCATGTCCATACACAAGAAAATGGTAAATCACTCTGGACACATTTCCCTAAGATATGAACTCCAGGAAATGCAAAATTGCTCACTTGAACTCAACCCTTGCCCTTTGAAGCAGAGTTTCCAGCACGTGACCTTGAGCCGTTTCGCGATTGGCTGTAGGCGGGAGCGTCAGCGTCTCGCGTGCTATATAAGAGCCGACCGCCGTCGTTTGGCCACGGTTGCCTGTGATTCCCGACGGATATGAAGACCCTGGTGAGTTTTGGATTTCTTTGGGCGGATCTCAGTGTTCAGCATTGATCTGAAGTTTAATGCTGATTAAGTTGATGAGATTTGCACAAATATAACATCAAAGTTTAATGCTAAAAGAAAAAGCCCACGTAGATTTATAGAAATTTATGTTAAGACGAATGGCCTCCATGGTCTTTAGACGTATGAATTAACGTGGAAGTGATGTCCTTGCAGGTCATCGCTGTTGCCCTCGTGGCGTATGTCGCTGTCAGTGTCAGCGGTGATCCTGAAGCTGATGCTGAGCCCAGCCGCTATGGAGGTGGCTTCGGAGGCCATGGGCTTGTGTCCTACAGACCCGTGTACAGCAGCTACGGATACGGACGCTGGAAGAGGAGTGCTGAGGCTGAGCCTGTAGCTGAGGCTGAGCCCGAAGCTGATCCTTCCCGCTTCGGATACGGCTATGGCGGCTATGGACACGTGTCCTACAGGCCCGTGTACAGCAGCTATGGATACGGACGCTGGAAGAGAAGTGCTGAGGCTGAGCCCGGATTCAACTTCGGTCGCGGCTTCGGAGGTCACGGTCGCTTCGGAGGCTACAGGGGTTATGGAGGCTATGGCGGGAGCTTTGGAGGACATGGTCGTTTCTATGGCTAAGAAATTTTGGTTCGAGGAAGATTAATAAAACTGAGCAATTTCAATTATCATTTTTTCTTTACACTCATCATCTCGATTATTACATATGACATACACATACAGTTTACCTACATATACGCAATTAACATTAGTCCTGCATAAGAAAATTAGAAATCACATCGGAAATCGTGATTCCTGTAATCTGAATTCAGATTAGTTTTTCCTTTTACTCTAAACTGAAAGTAATATAGAAAAGAAGTGTATGCACATCTTTTTCTGAGTTGAAAAGGTATCGATTTACAAATTCAAGAAAATGCTAACGCAACAAAAATTACCAAATAAAAAAGGGAATGAGAAGTGAATGATAAACATATTAGTATGAAAGTAACAATGCAACAATAACAGTTCATTGTGGATAAAAAGAAAAAGTGTTTCTTCGGATTCCACTGAGGAGCAGTTGTGTATATAGGCATACACTCCTACACATACATATACCACCATTAGTGTATATACTATCTACATTACCATTCCCCCCGACCTGCTGAGGGGTGTGTCATCCCTCTCTGGAAGGGGAAAGGGGATCGGTGGGACTGCAGCAATCACCGAGGCATTACACACCTCAATGTACCAGGCAAGGTACTCGCCCACATCTTACTGAGACGTATCAGAGACCACCTCCTGAGGCACCAAAGACCGGAGTAATCTGGGTTCACTCATGGTAAAAGTCCACCAAATAGATCGTATCCTGGCGCTTTCGAGTCATTGTAGAGCGCCGTCGTGATTCGGAACTGGGCTGCTCGCACCTACATCGACCTCAAGAAGGCGTTTGATACGGTGCATCGCGAATCATGGGGCGATTGATACTAAGAGGAATTCCAACAAGGATTGTTGGGCTAATAGCAAACCTGTATACAGGCACTGAAAGTGCTGTAAAGGTGTGGCGGGGGCCTTTCGAGCTTCTTTCCTGTTAGTTCAGGTGTGAGGCAAGGCTGTGTTCTTGCCCAACATTTTCAACGCTTGCATGGATTGGATACTGGGTAGAGCTACTGTCCAAAGTCACTGTGGAGCAACTCAGGGCAATATCAAGGTTACAGACCTTGACTTTGCTGATGATGTTGCCATTCTTTCTGAATCTCTGGAAGCCCTAGTGGCGGCTCTTGATGCATTTAGCATGAAGCGAAGCCCCTGGGGCTAGAGGTCTCCTGGACCAAGACCAAGATCCAGGATTTTGGGGGCCTACTAGGAGACCCTGTGCAGTGGTACGAGCTTGCGGTGAAAAAACATCGAAGTCATAAGGAGTTTTATATACCTCGGTAGTGCAGTTCATGACTCTGGGCTGTCACCAGGAAGTCAGTAGACGGATTGGCCTGGCAGCAGGGGTCATGAAATCTCTCGACAAGAGTATTTGGAGATGCCGGTACCTGTGCAGAAGGAACAAGCTACGAGTTTTCAAGGCCTGATACTGCCAGTTTTACTATATGGTAGTGAAAACTTGGACGCTATCTTGTGCTTTGGAATCTCGTCTCGATGCCTTTTGTAACAGATCCTTGCGCCGGATCATGGGGTACAGTTGGCTGGACCATGTGTCCAACCAACAGCTACACCGCGAGACCGGTACCGGACCCGGTTACTTGCACATTCCGTGATCGCCAACTCAGGCTATATGGCCACTTATTTGCAGATTCTCTTATTTTTTTGTTTATCCCGTAGGATGATCCCTTGCCCACAGGTTGTCTCTGTTCGAGACAACCCTGGGTGGAGGAGGCCTGTGGGACGACCGAGAAGGTCGTGGCTTGGGCAGATCGATCAAACCTGTCGTGAGTCTCTCATGGCGAGCCTGGGGCGGCTCGCCATGAGAGACCCTCGCAGGTGGAAGCGAAGGGTGGACGCGGCTATGCGCCCCTACCGGCGTAAGCCCCCAATGATGATGATGATATATATACATATATACATATATACATGAATATATATACATATATATATATATATATATATACATATATGTAAATAAAAATATGTATATATACAGATGCATATGAATATGTACATATACATATATACATATGCATATGAATATGTACATATACATATATACAGATGCATATGAATATGTACATATACATATATGCATATTTTTATGTTTAATTATAAATATATTCATATACATATGAATATATATAATATCCATATATACATATATATGCATATATATACATATATATTGTATAAAAACATATACATGGGTATCATATATATTATATATATATACAGACAAGGACACATATATGCATGCGTGTGCGTATGTATGTATGAACGACATGCAGCTGCCGAGTGAATGAGAAATGTGTATATGGGTGTGTACGCGCGCGTGCGTGCATATTCGTCTGTGTATGTATGTATGGCGACACGTAGCTGCTGCGGCTTCGAGTGCTGAAGGAGTGCCGGAGCCTACCCCGATCGGAGGCTGAGCTCGAGCAGAGGCTGACCCCAATCCAAGGTTGACCTTGAGCAGAGGCTGACTCTAAAGGGAGGTTTACCCAGGGAAGAGGAGGCTCACTCCAAGCAGAGGTTGACCCCGGGCGGAGGAGGCAGACCCCAAACCGAGGCCACCCGAGGATGACTCTGGGCTACGGCGCCGCGGTGTCCTTCGGGATAAATGGGATCCTGAGGACGCCGTTGTTCCAGCCGCTTCGAGTGTGCGCTGCCCTTGGAGAGTGGGGAAGGGGAGGGGGGGGGGGTGAGAACATTTTGGGCCTTTGTTACCGGGGCAAGTATGGGGAATAGGTTATGGGTAAGCGTGCATGTACGCATGCATACATACACAAATATATATAGATAAATAAATAGATATACATATCTATATATCTAGAAAGAGGGAAAGTATACATTTATTTGTCTGTGCACACACTTACATATATGTGTATATGTATGTATGTATACATATACTCATATATATATGCTTATTATACCTATATATATGTATATGAATGCATTATATATACATATATAGATCTTCATATATGTAAATACTTGTATTTATATTCATAAACATGCATACACACGTGCATATGTATATACTATATATGTATATATATACATATATATATGTAAATATACACACACACTCACATATACACATATACACATATATACAAATATATATGTATATATACATATACATGTATATATATTTATACATGTATATTTATACACATACATGCATTTATGCACACACACATATATATACTATATGCTTGTTTATCTATATAAGAGGAGGCTGACCACGAACAAAGGAGGCAGACCCCGTGAAAGCTTCAGACATGGTCGTCTCTACGTTTGACTGAATTAATTTGCTGTTCCTTCTATCAGTATTAGACAATGATTTTATCTCCTAATTCGTAAATACGTCAGTGTCTACTTTAGTCAAGAGAGCGTTTAATCACCATCATACCAATTTCCATGGCCATGCATAAGGAAATGATGAATCACACTGGACCTTGGGCCGTTTCACGATTGGCTACAGGCGGGAACGTCAGCGTCTCGTGTGGTATATAAGAGCCGAGCGCCGTCGTTTGGCCACGGTCGTCTGTGATTCCCGACGGATATGAAGACCCTGGTGAGTGTCGGATATATTTGGGCGAATTTCAGTGTAGTCGATTCGCTATCATTGTTGAAAGTGAAAGCTCACGTAGACTTAATTTCTTTTCTTTTTTTTCTACAAAAATGTATTTATATAAAGTCTGATGCCTTTAGACGTAGGAATTAACGTGGAAATGACTTTCCTGCAGGTCATCGCTGTTGCCTTCGTGGCGTATGTCGCTGTCAGTGTCAGCGGTGATCCTGAAGCTGATGCTGAGCCCAGCCGCTATGGAGGCGGCTTTGGAGGCCATGGGCTCGTGTCCTACAGACCCGTGTATAGCAGCTACGGATACGGACGCTGGAAGAGAAGTGCTGAGCCTGTAGCTGAGGCCGAGGCTGAGCCCGAAGCTGATCCTTCCCGCTTCGGACACGGGTATGGCAGCTATGGGCACGTGTCTTTCAGGCCCGTGTACAGCAGCTACGGATACGGACGCTGGAAGAGAAGTGCTGAGCCTGTAGCTGAGGCCGAGGCTGAGCCCGAAGCTGATCCTTCCCGCTTCGGATACGGGCTATGGCAGCTATGGGCACGTGTCCTACAGGCCCGTGTACAGCAGCTACGGTTATGGACGCTGGAAGAGGAGTGCTGAGGCTGAGCCTGTAGCTGAGGCTGAGCCCGAGGCTGATCCTTCCCGCTTCGGATATGGGTATGGCGGCTATGGACACGTGTCCTTCAGGCCCGTGTACAGCAGCTACGGTTACGGACGCTGGAAGAGGAGTGCTGAGGCTGAGCCCGGATTCAGCTTCGGTCGCGGCTTCGGAGGTCACGGTCGCTTCGGAGGCTACAGGGGCTATGGAGGCTACGGCGGGAGCTTTGGAGGACATGGTCGTTTCCATGGCTGAAGAATTTTGGTTCGAGAAAGATGAATTAAACTGAGCAATTTCATTCATTTAATTTTTTTTACACACCATCTCAATAACTGTATATGTGACACAAAGTATGTGTTAAAATCCAGTTCACATACATATACACAGTTAACATTAATCATGCATAAGAGAATGAGGAATCACAACACCAGGAACCGTGATTCCAGTAATCTGAATTCAGATTTGCACTTCCTTTTACTCTAAACTGAAAGAAATATCAAGCCGAAAAGGTATCGATTTACAAATTCAAGAAAATGCTAACACAACAAACATATACGCAAAAATGACAAAATAAGTAGCTGATCGAAAATTTTAAAAATACCCCCAAAAAAGGAAGAGAACGAAAATGAGAAGTGAGAGATAAACAGTATTATGAAGGTAATAAAAACAATAAAGGGTTTCATTGTGCATAAAAAGGAAAGTGTTTTCTTCAGAGTCCACCGAGGAGCAGTATGTATATACATACTTCATACACAGACATATGCATACACACATATATATATATACATATACACATACTTATACATGTATGTATATGTAAGTGTATCTATATACACATCTATATATAAATATATAAACATATATTTGACATATACTCACATATGTATAAGTATATATATATACACACATATATATATATATTTTAAACAGCCATTCATTCCACTGCAGGACATAGGCCTCTCTCAATTCAGCATTGAGAGGTTATATGGCAGTGCCACCCTTGCCTGACTGGATGCCCTTCCTAATCAACCGCGATTCGGCGCGCTAACACTTGAAGCACGGCGGTGACTTTCCCTACGACACCTGCGTTTGACTTCTCAAGGCGATGCCATTTTCTCGGGCTCGAGCCAGCAATCAGAGCGTAGGCATTTTTACGACCGCCGCGACGGGGAATTGAACCCCGAGGGTCGGAGTCCAGTGCTCTAACCAGTGAGCTATCGCGGCAGTCATACACACACACACATATATAATTATATATGTATATATGTATGCATATATACATACATTTATACATGTGTGCGTGAAAAATATGAATAAATATATATGGATATATATGAATATGTATGCATATATACATATATATACATGTATGTATGTTTTGTATATATGTACGTATCTACATATAGGTACATACATATATACCAAATATGTATATATACATACAAATATGGATATATATGTACACATACACATTTTGTATTTATATCTATAATTATGTATATGCCTATACATATGAATCTAGATATTTATATAGGTTTATATGCAGTATCCATATAAATATTTTCATACATATATATATTATATGTATACACAGACATATATACAAACATTCACGCATACATATACATGTGTGTATGTGCATGTATGTGTGTATGACCGACCTGCACACACATATATACGCGTGCGCGTATATATGTGTGTGTATGACTGACTGACATACAGCTGCTGCGGCTTTGAGTGCTAAAGGAGTGCGGAAGACTACCGCGATCGGAGACTGAACACGAGTAGTGGTTGACAACAAGTAGAAGTTGACCCCTGGCCAAGGTTGACCTTGAGCAATGGCTGATCCCGAACGGAGGAGGCTAACTCTAAACAGAGGCTGACCCCAAACTGAGGCTGACAATAAGCAGAGGTTGACCCCGGACGGAGGAGGCTCATTCTAAGCGGAAGCTGACCCCGAGCAGAGGAAGCTGACAATAAGCAGAGGTTGACCCCAGGCGGAGGAGGCTGACCCCGAGTGGAGGATGCTGACTCTAAGTCAAAATGGTCGTCTCTAAGCTGGACTGATAGTTTAATTTGCTGTTCCTTCTATCAATATTCGACATTTAATCACAATTATCAATTTCCATGTCCATACACAAGAAAATGGTAAATCACTCTGGACACATTTCCCTAAGATATGAACTCCAGGAAATGCAAAATTGCTCACTTGAACTCAACCCTTGCCCTTTGAAGCAGAGTTTCCAGCACGTGACCTTGAGCCGTTTCGCGATTGGCTGTAGGCGGGAGCGTCAGCGTCTCGCGTGCTATATAAGAGCCGACCGCCGTCGTTTGGCCACGGTTGCCTGTGATTCCCGACGGATATGAAGACCCTGGTGAGTGTTGGATTTCTTTGGGCGGATCTCAGTGTTCAGCATTGATCTGAAGTTTAATGCTGATTAAGTTCATGAGATTTGCACAAATATTACATCAAAGTTTAATGCTAAAAGAAAAAGCCCACGTAGATTTATAGAAATTTATGTTAAGACGAATGGCCTCCATGGTCTTTAGACGTATGAATTAACGTGGAAGTGATGTCCTTGCAGGTCATCGCTGTTGCCCTCGTGGCGTATGTCGCTGTCAGTGTCAGCGGTGATCCTGAAGCTGATGCTGAGCCCAGCCGCTATGGAGGTGGCTTCGGAGGCCATGGGCTTGTGTCCTACAGACCCGTGTACAGCAGCTACGGATACGGACGCTGGAAGAGGAGTGCTGAGGCTGAGCCTGTAGCTGAGGCTGAGCCCGAAGCTGATCCTTCCCGCTTCGGATACGGCTATGGCGGCTATGGACACGTGTCCTACAGGCCCGTGTACAGCAGCTATGGATACGGACGCTGGAAGAGAAGTGCTGAGGAGCCCGGATTCAGCTTCGGTCGCGGCTTCGGAGGTCACGGTCGCTTCGGAGGCTACAGGGGCTATGGAGGCTACGGCGGGAGCTTTGGAGGACATGGTCGTTTCTATGGCTAAGAAATTTTGGTTCGAGGAAGATTAATAAAACTGAGCAATTTCAATTATCATTTTTTCTTTACACTCATCATCTCGATTATTACATATGACATACACATACAGTTTACCTACATATACGCAATTAACATTAGTCCTGCATAAGAAAATTAGAAATCACAACACCGGAAATCGTAATTCCTGTAATCTGAATTCAGATTTGGTTTTCCTTTTACTCTAAACTGAAAGTAATATAGAAAGAAGTTATGCACATCTTTTTCTGAAGTTGAAAAGGTATCGATTTACAAATTCAAAAAAATGTTAACAAGCAAACATACACGCAAAAATGACTACATAAATAGCTGATCGAAAATTTTAAAAATACCCCCAAAAAAGGAAGAGAACGAGAATGAGAAATGAGAGATAAACGGTATTATGAAGGTAATAACAATAAAGGGTTTCATTGTGCATAAAAAGGAAAGTGTTTTCTTCGGATTCCACTGAGGAGCAGTTGTGTATATATGCATACACTCCTACACATACATATACACACGCATTATGTATATACATATGCATACATTACCATTCCCCCCGACCTGCTGAGGGGTGTGTCATCCCTCTCTGGAAGGGGAAAGGGGATCGGTGGGACTGCAGCAATCACCGAGGCATTACACACCTCAATGTACCAGGCAAGGTACTCGCCCACATCTTACTGAGACGTATCAGAGACCACCTCCTGAGGCACCAAAGACCGGAGTAATCTGGGTTCACTCTGAGTAAGTCCACATAGATCGTATCCTGGCGCTTTCGAGTCATTGTAGAGCGCCGTCGTGAGTTCGGACCCGTGGGCTGCTCGCAGCCTACATCGACCTCAAGACGGCGTGTGATAGGTGCCTCGCCCCGACAAAATCACTGGGAGATATTGATACTAAGAGGAATTCCAACAAGGATTGTTGGGCTAATAGCAAACCTGTATACAGGCACTGAAAGTGCTGTAAAGTGTGGCGGGGGCATGTCGAGATTCTTTCCTGTAGTTCAGGTGTGAGGCAAGCTCCCTACACCCATGTGTTCTTGCCACCAACACTTTTCAACGCTTGCATGGATTGGATACTGGGTAGAGCTACTGTCCAAAGTCACTGTGGAGCAACTCAGGGCAATATCAAGGTTACAGACCTTGACTTTGCTGATGATGTTGCCATTCTTTCTGAATCTCTGGAAGCCCTAGTGGGGCGGCTCCTTGATGCAGGTAGCAATGAAGCGAAGCCCCTGGGGCTAGAGGTCTCCTGGACCAAGACCAAGATCCAGGATTTTGGGGGCCTAATAGGAGACCTGTGCACAGTCGGTAGTGCTTGCGGTGAAAACATCGAAGTCATAAGGAGTTTTATATACCTCGGTAGTGCAGTTCATGACTCTGGGCTGTCAGACCAGGAAGTCAGTAGACGGATTGGCCTGGCAGCAGGGGTCATGAAATCTCTCGACACGGTCTTTGGAGATTGACGGTTACCTGTGCAGAAGGAACAAGCTACGAGTTTTCAAGGCCTGATACTGCCAGTTTTACTATATGGTAGTGAAAACTTGGACGCTATCTTGTGCTTTGGAATCTCGTCTCGATGCCTTTTGTAACAGATCCTTGCGCCGGATCATGGGGTACAGTTTGGCGGGACCATGGGTCCAAACCAACAGCGACACGCTGACGAGACGGTACCGGAACCGTGTACTTGGCACACAAATCCCAGGCGACGCCAACTCAGGGCTATTGGCCACTTGGATCGATTCCCGTGGATGATAACGACCATCAGGTTGTCTCTGTTCGAGACAACCCTGGGTGGAGGAGGCCTGGGGGAACGACCGAGAAGGTCGTGGCTGGGCAGATCGATTCAAACCTTGTCGGCACGTCTATCAGGGCGAGCCTGGCGGCTCGCCATGAGAGACCCTCGCAGGTGGAAGCGAAGGGTGGACGCGGCTATGCGCCCCTACCGGCGTAAGCCCCCAATGATGATGATGATATATATACATGTATGTATATATGTATGCATATATACATGAATATATATACATATATATATATATATATATATATATACATATATACATGAATATATATACATATATACATATATACAGATGCATATGAATATGTACATATACATATATGCATATTTTTATGTTTAATTATAAATATATTTATATACATATGAATATATATAATATCCATATATACATATATATGCATATATATACATATATATTGTATAAAAACATATACATGGGTATCATATATATTATATATATATACAGACAAGGACACATATATGCATGCGTGTGCGTATGTATGTATGAACGACATGCAGCTGCCGAGTGAATGAGAAATGTGTATATGGGTGTGTACGCGCGCGTGCGTGCATATTCGTCTGTGTATGTATGTATGGCGACACGTAGCTGCTGCGGCTTCGAGTGCTGAAGGAGTGCCGGAGCCTACCCCGATCGGAGGCTGAGCTCGAGCAGAGGCTGACCCCAATCCAAGGTTGACCTTGAGCAGAGGCTGACTCTAAAGGGAGGTTTACCCAGGGAAGAGGAGGCTCACTCCAAGCAGAGGTTGACCCCGGGCGGAGGAGGCAGACCCCAAACCGAGGCCACCCGAGGATGACTCTGGGCTACGGCGCCGCGGTGTCCTTCGGGATAAATGGGATCCTGAGGACGCCGTTGTTCCAGCCGCTTCGAGTGTGCGCTGCCCTTGGAGAGTGGGGAAGGGGAGGGGGGGGGGGTGAGAACATTTTGGGCCTTTGTTACCGGGGCAAGTATGGGGAATAGGTTATGGGTAAGCGTGCATGTACGCATGCATACATACACAAATATATATAGATAAATAAATAGATATACATATCTATATATCTAGAAAGAGGGAAAGTATACATTTATTTGTCTGTGCACACACTTACATATATGTGTATATGTATGTATGTATACATATACTCATATATATATGCTTATTATACCTATATATATGTATATGAATGCATTATATATACATATATAGATCTTCATATATGTAAATACTTGTATTTATATTCATAAACATGCATACACACGTGCATATGTATATACTATATATGTATATATATACATATATATATGTAAATATACACACACACTCACATATACACATATATACATATATACAAATATATATGTATATATACATATACATGTATATATATTTATACATGTATATTTATACACATACATGCATTTATGCACACACACATATATATACTATATGCTTGTTTATCTATATAAGAGGAGGCTGACCACGAACAAAGGAGGCAGACCCCGTGAAAGCTTCAGACATGGTCGTCTCTACGTTTGACTGAATTAATTTGCTGTTCCTTCTATCAGTATTAGACAATGATTTTATCTCCTAATTCGTAAATACGTCAGTGTCTACTTTAGTCAAGAGAGCGTTTAATCACCATCATACCAATTTCCATGGCCATGCATAAGGAAATGATGAATCACACTGGACCTTGGGCCGTTTCACGATTGGCTACAGGCGGGAACGTCAGCGTCTCGTGTGGTATATAAGAGCCGAGCGCCGTCGTTTGGCCACGGTCGTCTGTGATTCCCGACGGATATGAAGACCCTGGTGAGTGTCGGATATATTTGGGCGAATTTCAGTGTAGTCGATTCGCTATCATTGTTGAAAGTGAAAGCTCACGTAGACTTAATTTCTTTTCTTTTTTTTCTACAAAAATGTATTTATATAAAGTCTGATGCCTTTAGACGTAGGAATTAACGTGGAAATGACTTTCCTGCAGGTCATCGCTGTTGCCTTCGTGGCGTATGTCGCTGTCAGTGTCAGCGGTGATCCTGAAGCTGATGCTGAGCCCAGCCGCTATGGAGGCGGCTTTGGAGGCCATGGGCTCGTGTCCTACAGACCCGTGTATAGCAGCTACGGATACGGACGCTGGAAGAGAAGTGCTGAGCCTGTAGCTGAGGCCGAGGCTGAGCCCGAAGCTGATCCTTCCCGCTTCGGACACGGGTATGGCAGCTATGGGCACGTGTCTTTCAGGCCCGTGTACAGCAGCTACGGATACGGACGCTGGAAGAGAAGTGCTGAGCCTGTAGCTGAGGCCGAGGCTGAGCCCGAAGCTGATCCTTCCCGCTTCGGATACGGCTATGGCAGCTATGGGCACGTGTCCTACAGGCCCGTGTACAGCAGCTACGGTTATGGACGCTGGAAGAGGAGTGCTGAGGCTGAGCCTGTAGCTGAGGCTGAGCCCGAGGCTGATCCTTCCCGCTTCGGATATGGGTATGGCGGCTATGGACACGTGTCCTTCAGGCCCGTGTACAGCAGCTACGGTTACGGACGCTGGAAGAGGAGTGCTGAGGCTGAGCCCGGATTCAGCTTCGGTCGCGGCTTCGGAGGTCACGGTCGCTTCGGAGGCTACAGGGGCTATGGAGGCTACGGCGGGAGCTTTGGAGGACATGGTCGTTTCCATGGCTGAAGAATTTTGGTTCGAGAAAGATGAATTAAACTGAGCAATTTCATTCATTTAATTTTTTTTACACACCATCTCAATAACTGTATATGTGACACAAAGTATGTGTTAAAATCCAGTTCACATACATATACACAGTTAACATTAATCATGCATAAGAGAATGAGGAATCACAACACCAGGAACCGTGATTCCAGTAATCTGAATTCAGATTTGCACTTCCTTTTACTCTAAACTGAAAGAAATATCAAGCCGAAAAGGTATCGATTTACAAATTCAAGAAAATGCTAACACAACAAACATATACGCAAAAATGACAAAAGTAGCTGATCGAAAATTTTAAAAATACCCCCAAAAAAGGAAGAGAACGAAAATGAGAAGTGAGAGATAAACAGTATTATGAAGGTAATAAAAACAATAAAGGGTTTCATTGTGCATAAAAAGGAAAGTGTTTTCTTCAGAGTCCACCGAGGAGCAGTATATATATACATACTTCATACACAGACATATGCATACACACTTATATATATATATACATATACACATACTTATACATGTATGTATATGTAAGTGTATCTATATACACATCTATATATAAATATATAAACATATATTTGACATATACTCACATATGTATAAGTATATATATTCATATATATATATTTAAACAGCCATTCATTCCACTGCAGGACATAGGCCTCTCTCAATTCAGCATTGAGAGGTTATATGGCAGTGCCACCCTTGCCTGACTGGATGCCCTTCCTAATCAACCGCGATTCGGCGCGCTAACACTTGAAGCACGGCGGTGACTTTCCCTACGACACCTGCGTTTGACTTCTCAAGGCGATGCCATTTTCTCGGGCTCGAGCCAGCAATCAGAGCGTAGGCATTTTTACGACCGCCGCGACGGGGAATTGAACCCCGAGGGTCGGAGTCCAGTGCTCTAACCAGTGAGCTATCGCGGCAGTCATACACACACACACATATATAATTATATATGTATATATGTATGCATATATACATACATTTATACATGTGTGCGTGAAAAATATGAATAAATATATATGGATATATATGAATATGTATGCATATATACATATATATACATGTATGTATGTTTTGTATATATGTACGTATCTACATATAGGTACATACATATATACCAAATATGTATATATACATACAAATATGGATATATATGTACACATACACATTTTGTATTTATATCTATAATTATGTATATGCCTATACATATGAATCTAGATATTTATATAGGTTTATATGCAGTATCCATATAAATATTTTCATACATATATATATTATATGTATACACAGACATATATACAAACATTCACGCATACATATACATGTGTGTATGTGCATGTATGTGTGTATGACCGACCTGCACACACATATATACGCGTGCGCGTATATATGTGTGTGTATGACTGACACATACAGCTGCTGCGGCTTTGAGTGCTAAAGGAGTGCGGAAGACTACCGCGATCGGAGACTGAACACGAGTAGTGGTTGACAACAAGTAGAAGTTGACCCCTGGCCAAGGTTGACCTTGAGCAATGGCTGATCCCGAACGGAGGAGGCTAACTCTAAACAGAGGCTGACCCCAAACTGAGGCTGACAATAAGCAGAGGTTGACCCCGGACGGAGGAGGCTCATTCTAAGCGGAAGCTGACCCCGAGCAGAGGAAGCTGACAATAAGCAGAGGTTGACCCCAGGCGGAGGAGGCTGACCCCGAGTGGAGGATGCTGACTCTAAGTCAAAATGGTCGTCTCTAAGCTGGACTGATAGTTTAATTTGCTGTTCCTTCTATCAATATTCGACATTTAATCACAATTATCAATTTCCATGTCCATACACAAGAAAATGGTAAATCACTCTGGACACATTTCCCTAAGATATGAACTCCAGGAAATGCAAAATTGCTCACTTGAACTCAACCCTTGCCCTTTGAAGCAGAGTTTCCAGCACGTGACCTTGAGCCGTTTCGCGATTGGCTGTAGGCGGGAGCGTCAGCGTCTCGCGTGCTATATAAGAGCCGACCGCCGTCGTTTGGCCACGGTTGCCTGTGATTCCCGACGGATATGAAGACCCTGGTGAGTGTTGGATTTCTTTGGGCGGATCTCAGTGTTCAGCATTGATCTGAAGTTTAATGCTGATTAAGTTCATGAGATTTGCACAAATATTACATCAAAGTTTAATGCTAAAAGAAAACGCCCACGTAGATTTATAGAAATTTATGTTAAGACGAATGGCCTCCATGGTCTTTAGACGTATTAACGTGGAAGTGATGTCCTTGCAGGTCATCGCTGTTGCCCTCGTGGCGTATGTCGCTGTCAGTGTCAGCGGTGATCCTGAAGCTGATGCTGAGCCCAGCCGCTATGGAGGTGACTTCGGAGGCCATGGGCTTGTGTCCTACAGACCCGTGTACAGCAGCTACGGATACGGACGCTGGAAGAGGAGTGCTGAGGCTGAGCCTGTAGCTGAGGCTGAGCCCGAAGCTGATCCTTCCCGCTTCGGATACGGCTATGGCGGCTATGGACACGTGTCCTACAGGCCCGTGTACAGCAGCTATGGATACGGACGCTGGAAGAGAAGTGCTGAGGCTGAGCCCGGATTCAGCTTCGGTCGCGGCTTCGGAGGTCACGGTCGCTTCGGAGGCTACAGGGGCTATGGAGGCTACGGCGGGAGCTTTGGAGGACATGGTCGTTTCTATGGCTAAGAAATTTTGGTTCGAGGAAGATTAATAAAACTGAGCAATTTCAATTATCATTTTTTCTTTACACTCATCATCTCGATTATTACATATGACATACACATACAGTTTACCTACATATACGCAATTAACATTAGTCCTGCATAAGAAAATTAGAAATCACATCGGAAATCGTGATTCCTGTAATCTGAATTCAGATTAGTTTTTCCTTTTACTCTAAACTGAACGAAAAATCAAGCCGAAAAGGTATCGATTTACAAATTCAAAAAAATGTTAACAAGCAAACATACACGCAAAAATGACTACATAAATAGCTGATCGAAAATTTTAAAAATACCCCCAAAAAAGGAAGAGAACGAGAATGAGAAATGAGAGATAAACGGTATTATGAAGGTAATAACAATAAAGGGTTTCATTGTGCATAAAAAGGAAAGTGTTTTCTTCAGATTCCACTGAGGAGCAGTTCTGTATATATGCATACACTCCTACACATACATATACACACGCATTATACATACATATGCATACATTACCATTCCCCCCGACCTGCTGAGGGTGTGGTCATCCCTCTCTGAAGGGGAAAGGGGATCGGTGGGACTGCAGCAATCACCGAGGCATTACACACCTCAATGTACCAGGCAAGGTACTCGCCCACATCTTACTGAGACGTATCAGAGACCACCTTCCTAGGCACCAAAGACGGAGTAATCGTGGTTCACTCATGTAAGTCCACAATAGATCGTATCCTGGCGCTCGAGTCATTGTAGAGCGCCGTCGTGAGTTCGACGTGGGCTGCTCGCAGCCTACATCGACCTCAAGAAGCGTTTGATACGGGGCATCGCGGAATCAATGGGAGATATTGATACTAAGAGGAATTCCAACAAGGATTGTTGGGCTAATAGCAAACCTGTATACAGGCACTGAAAGTGCTGTAAAAAGATGTGGCGGGGGAATGTCGAGCTTCTGCCTGTTAGTTCAGGTGTGAGGCAAGGCTGTGTTCTTGCAACAAAACACTTTTTCAACGCTTGCATGGATTGGATACTGGGTAGAGCTACTGTCCAAAGTCACTGTGGAGCAACTCAGGGCAATATCAAGGTTACAGACCTTGACTTTGCTGATGATGTTGCCATTCTTTCTGAATCTCTGGAAGCCCTAGTGGCGGCTCTTGATGCATTTAGCATGAAGCGAAGCCCCTGGGGCTAGAGGTCTCCTGGACCAAGACCAAGATCCAGGATTTTGGGGGCCTACTAGGAGACCCTGTGCAGCGGTACGTGGCTTGCGGTGAAAACATCGAAGTCATAAGGAGTTTTATATACCTCGGTAGTGCAGTTCATGACTCTGGGCTGTCAGACCAGGAAGTCAGTAGACGGATTGGCCTGGCAGCAGGGGTCATGAAATCTCTCGGACAAGAGTATGTGGAGCTTGCCGGTACCTGTGCAGAAGGAACAAGCTACGAGTTTTCAAGGCCTGATACTGCCAGTTTTACTATATGGTAGTGAAAACTTGGACGCTATCTTGTGCTTTGGAATCTCGTCTCGATGCCTTTTGTAACAGATCCTTGCGCCGGATCATGGGGTACAGTTGGCGGGGACCATGTGTCCAACCAACAGCTACACCGCGAGACCGGTACCGGACCCGGTTACTTGCACATTCCGTGATCGCCAACTCAGGTATTTGGAATTGGCTCGATTCCAGTAGGATGATCCTGCCCATCAGGTTGTCTCTGTTCGAGACAACCCTGGGTGGAGGAGGCCTGTGGGACGACCGAGAAGGTCGTGGCTTGGGCAGATCGATCAAACCTGTCGTGAGTCTCTCATGGCGAGCCGCCAGGCTCGCCATGAGAGACCCTCGCAGGTGGAAGCGAAGGGTGGACGCGGCTATGCGCCCCTACCGGCGTAAGCCCCCCAATGATGATGATGATATATATACATATATATATATATATATATATATACATATATATATATATATACATATATATATATATATATATATATATATATATATACATATATACATGAATATATATACATATATACATATGCATACGAATATGTACATATGCATGTATACATATGCATGAGAATATGAACATACATATATGCAGGTTTTTATATTGATTACATATATATATATATATATATATATATATATATATATATACATATATATATATATATATATATATATATACATATATATATATATATATATATATATATATACATATATACATATGCATACATACATATATGTGTATATGTATGTATGTATGAACGACATGCAGCTGCCGAGTGAATGAGAAATGTGTATATGGGTGTGTACGCGCGCGTGCGTGCATATTCGTCTGTGTATGTATGTATGGCGACACGTAGCTGCTGCGGCTTCGAGTGCTGAAGGAGTGCCGGAGCCTACCCCGATCGGAGGCTGAGCTCGAGCAGAGGCTAACCCCAATCCAAGGTTGACCTTGAGCAGAGGCTGACTCTAAAGGGAGGTTTACCCAGGGAAGAGGAGGCTCACTCCAAGCAGAGGTTGACCCCGGGCGGAGGAGGCAGACCCCAAACCGAGGCCGCCCGAGGATGACTCTGGGCTACGGCGCCGCGGTGTCCTTCGGGATAAATGGGATCCTGAGGACGCCGTTGTTCCAGCCGCTTCGAGTGTGCGCTGCCCTTGGAGAGTGGGGAGGGGGAGGGGGGGGGGTGAGAACATTTTGGGCCTTTGTTACCGGGGCAAGTATGGGGAATAGGTTATGGGTAAGCGTGCATGTACGCATGCATACATACACAAATATATATAGATAAATAAATAGATATACATATCTATATATCTAGAAAGAGGAGTATACATCTATTTGTCTGTACACACATACACATACATGTGTATGTGTATGTACGTATACATATATACACATATATTTGTTTATTATACATATATATGTATATGTATATAAATGCATTATATATACACATATATATAGATATTTTCATATGTATATATTTATATTTATATTCATAAACATGCATACACACGTGCATATGTATATACAAATATATATATATATGCATATATATATATATGTAAATATATACTCATATATACACATACATACAAGTATATATGTATATGTATATATACATATACATGTATATATATGTATATTTATACACATACATGCATTTATGCACACATATATATACTATATGCTTGTTTATCTATATAAGAGGCTGACCACGAACGAAGGAGGCAGACCCCGTGAAAGCTTCAGACATGGTCGTCTCTACGCTGGACTGAATTAATTTGCTGTTCCTTCTTTTAGTATTAGACGATGATTTTACCTCCTAACCACTCATAAATACGTCAGTGTCTACTTTAGTCAAGAGAGCGTTTAATCACCATCATACCAATTTCCATGGCCATGCATAAGGAAATGATGAATCACACTGGACCTTGGGCCGTTTCACGATTGGCTGCAGGCGGGAACGTCAGCGTCTCGTGTGGTATATAAGAGCCGAGCGCCGTCGTTTGGCTACGGTCGTCTGTGATTCCCGACGGATATGAAGACCCTGGTGAGTGTCGGATATATTTGGGCGAATTTCAGTGTAGTCGATTCACAAAAGTTCATTGTTGAAAGTGAAAGCTCACGTAGACTTAATTTCTTTTCTTTTTTTTTCTACAAAAATGTATTTATATAAAGTCTGATGCCTTTAGACGTAGGAATTAACGTGGAAATGACTTTCCTGCAGGTCATCGCTGTTGCCTTCGTGGCGTATGTCGCTGTCAGTGTCAGCGGTGATCCTGAAGCTGATGCTGAGCCCAGCCGCTATGGAGGCGGCTTTGGAGGCCATGGGCTCGTGTCCTACAGACCCGTGTATAGCAGCTACGGATACGGACGCTGGAAGAGAAGTGCTGAGCCTGTAGCTGAGGCCGAGGCTGAGCCCGAAGCTGATCCTTCCCGCTTTGGACACGGGTATGGCAGCTATGGGCACGTGTCTTTCAGGCCCGTGTACAGCAGCTACGGATACGGACGCTGGAAGAGAAGTGCTGAGCCTGTAGCTGAGGCCGAGGCTGAGCCCGAAGCTGATCCTTCCCGCTTCGGACACGGGTATGGCAGCTATGGGCACGTGTCTTTCAGGCCCGTGTACAGCAGCTACGGATACGGACGCTGGAAGAGAAGTGCTGAGCCTGTAGCTGAGGCCGGGGCTGAGCCCGAAGCTGATCCTTCCCGCTTCGGATACGGGTATGGCAGCTATGGGCACGTGTCCTACAGGCCCGTGTACAGCAGCTACGGTTATGGACGCTGGAAGAGGAGTGCTGAGGCTGAGCCTGTAGCTGAGGCTGAGCCCGAGGCTGATCCTTCCCGCTTCGGATATGGGTATGGCGGCTATGGACACGTGTCCTTCAGGCCCGTGTACAGCAGCTACGGTTACGGACGCTGGAAGAGGAGTGCTGAGGCTGAGCCCGGATTCAGCTTCGGTCGCGGCTTCGGAGGTCACGGTCGCTTCGGAGGCTACAGGGGCTATGGAGGCTACGGCGGGAGCTTTGGAGGACATGGTCGTTTCCATGGCTGAAGAATTTTGGTTCGAGAAAGATGAATTAAACTGAGCAATTTCATTCATTTATTTTTTTTACACACCATCTCAATAACTGTATATGACACAAAGTATGTGTCAAAATTCAGTTCACATACATATACACAGTTAACATTAATCATGCATAAGAGAATGAGGAATCACAACACCGGGAACCGTGATTCCAGTAATCTGAATTCAGATTTGCACTTCCTTTTACTCTAAACTGAAAGAAATATCAAGTCGAAAAGGTATCGATTTACAAATTCAAGAAAATGCTAACAAGCAAACATACGCAAAAATGACAAAATAAATAGCTGATCGAAAATTTAAAAAATATCCCCCAAAATGAAGAGAACGAGAATGAGAAGTGAGAGATAAACAGTATTGTGAAGGTAATAAAAACAATAAAGGGTTTAATTGTGCATAAAAAGGAAAGTGTTTTCTTCAGAGTCCACCGAGGAGCAGTATATATATAGACATACTTCATACACAGACATATACATACACACTTATATGTATATATACATATACACACATACTTATACATGTATGTATATGTAAGTGTATCTATATACACATCTATATATAAATATATAAACATATATTTGACATATACTCACATATGTATAAGTATATATATTCATATATATATATTTTTAAACAGCCATTCATTCCACTGCAGGACATAGGCCTCTCTCAATTCAGCATTGAGAGGTTATATGGCAGTGCCAGTGCCGAGGAGCAGTATATATATAGACATACTTCATACACAGACATATACATACACACTTATGTGTATATATACATATACACATACTTATACATATGTGTGTATATGTAAGTGTATTTATATACACATCTATATATAAATATATAAACATATATTTGACATATACTCATATATTTATATGTATATATATACACACAAATATATAAATATATATGAATATATATGTATGCATATATACATACATTCATAGATGTGTGCGTGAAAAAAATATATGAATAAACATATACGCATTAATATGAATATATATACATGTATGTTTTGTATATGTGTACGTATCTATATATAGGTACATACATATATACCAAATATGTATATATACATGTGAATATGGATATATATGTGCACCTACACATTTTGTATTTATATCTAGAATCATGTATATGCATATACATATGAATTTGGATATTTATATAGGTTTATATACAGTATCCATATAAATATCTTAATACACATATATATTTTATATATACACAGACATATATACAAACACTCAAGCATATATATACATGTGTGTATGTGCATGTATGTGTCTATGACCGACCTGCTACTGAGAGATGTGTATATGTGTGCATCCACGCGCGTGCGTATATTTGTGTATGTATGACCGACATTGAGTGCTGAAGGAATGCCGGAGACTACCGCGATCGGAGGCTGAATACAAGTAGTAGTTGACAACAAGCAGAAGTTGACCCCTGGCCAAGGTTGACCTTGAGCAATGGCTGATCCCGAACGGAGGATGCTGACTCTAAACGGAGGCTGACCCTGGGTGGAGGAGGCTGACCCCAAACCGAGGCTGACAATAAGCAGCTGACCCCGGACGGAGGAGGCTCATTCTAAGCAGAAGCTGACCCCGAGCAGAGGAGGCTGACAATAAGCAGAGGTTGACCTCAGGCGGAGGAGGCTGATAGTTTAATTTGCTGTTCCTTCTATCAATATTCGACATTTAATCACAATTATCAATTTCCATGTCCATACACAAGAAAATGAATCACTCTGGACACATTTCCCAAAGACATGAACTCCATGAAATGTGAAATTGCTCATTTGAACTCAACTCTTGCCCTTTGAAGCAGTTTCCAGAACGTGACCTTGAGCCGTTTCGCGATTGACTGTAGGCGAGAGCGTCAGCGTCTCGCTTGCTATATAAGAAGCGACTGCCGTCGTTTGTCCACGGTCGCCTGTGACTCCTGACGGATATGAAGACCCTGGTGAGTTTTGGATTTCGGATCCCAGTGTTCACTGATTAAGTTTATGAGGTTTGCGCAAATATAAAATCAAAGTTTAATTTAAGGCTCGCGTAGATTTACATCTATTTCATTTAGAGGAATTTATGTAAAGACGAATGGCCTCCATGGTCTTCAGGCGTATGAATTATCGCGGAAATGACGTTCTTGCAGGTCATCGCTGTTGCCTTCGTGGCGTATGTCGCTGTCAGTGTCAGTGGTGATCCTGAAGCTGATGCTGAGCCCAGCCGCTATGGAGGTGGCTTTGGAGGCCATGGGCTCGTGTCCTACAGACCCGTGTACAGCGGCTACGGATACAGACGCTGGAAGAGGAGTGCTGAGGCTGAGCCTGTAGCTGAGGCTGAGCCTGTAGTTGAGGCTGAGGCTGAGCCCGAAGCTGATCCTTCCCGCTTCGGATATGGGTATGGACACGTGTCCTACAGGCCCGTGTACAGCAGCTATGGTTACGGACGCTGGAAGAGGAGTGCTGAGGCTGAGCCCGGATTCAGCTTCGGTCGCGGCTTCGGAGGTCACGGTCGCTTCGGAGGCTACAGGGGCTATGGAGGCTACGCCGGGAGCTTTGGAGGACATGGTCGTTTCTATGGCTAAGGAATTTTGGTTCGAGGAAGATGAATAAAACTGAGCAATTTCATTTATCATTTCTTATTTTTCTTTACACACTCGATCTCATTTACTGCATATAAGATACATATCTGCAGTTTACATACGTATATACAGCTAATATTAGTTATACTTTAGAGAATTAGGAATCACAACATCGAAAATCGTGATTCCTGTAATCTGAATTCAAATTTGTATTTGCTTTTTTTCTAAACTGAAAGAAATATAAAAAGTCGCGCACGTCCTTTTATAAAGTTGAAAAGGTATCGATTTTCAAATTCAAGAAAATGCTAACACAGCAAACATACGTAAAAATGACCATACAAATAGCTAATCGCAAATAAATAACACCCTCAAAAGAAGAGAACGGGAACAGTGTGTATATATGCATACACTCATACACATACACACGATATAGGTGTATATATACACACATACATATGCATACATGTGTATGTATATGTACACATTTATATAGAGACAAATATATATAAATATGTATACGTATGTATGTTGTTCGTCCTTCGTTTTCGAAGATGACCATGGCATCAGTTGGTAGATGAGGTTGAGCTGGCTTGGTGTGTCCGGAGATGACTGATGAGGCCGATCCGGGCAAGGAAACCCCTTCCACAGATAGGGCAGAAGTGGGTATGGGCTTTGCATTTGTTGCTGATGGCTCTGGCCTTGCGTGCCTCTCGTTTTGTCTCTGCTTGGAGACACCTTCGCTCCTCTGCCGTGGTTGCCCCTTTGGCGATGAGACACCGCCAGGTAGGTCTATCAGAGGCCAGTGACTCCCAGGATTCTGAATCGATGCCAACATTGACTCAGAAATTAGTGCCAGAATTGCCAAAGCAAGCAGTACCTTCGGAAGACTGAGGAATAATGTATGGGAGAGACGAGGGATTAGCCTCCAGACGAAACTGAAAGTGTACAGGACAATAATCCTCACCACCCTCCTCTACGGTTGTGAAGCCTGGACAATGTACAGAAGGCATGAAAGACAAGTGAATCACTTTCACCTAAGTTGCCTTAGAAACCTCCTTCACATCCGCTGGCAGGACAAAGTACCTGATACAGAGGTCCTGAAACAGGCAAATCTCCCCAGCATCACCACCGTTATTCGCAAGTCTCAGCTGAGATGGGCAGGCCACGTCTCCCGCATGTCGGACCACCGCATCCCAAAACAGCTCTTTTACGGTGAACTATGCCAGGGCAAGCGCAGAGTCGGAGGGCAGAGAAAGCGCTACAAAGACAGTTTAAAGGTCTCCTTCAAGGACTTCAACTTCAATGTATGTATGTATATATCTATACAAATATATACATATGTATAATATATACACATGCGTATATGCCTTTGTATGCGGACACATAAATGAATATATGTGTATGTGTGAGCGTGTGTATGTGCATATATACATACATATATGTGTGGGAAAAATATATATACATTTATGTATATATATGCACGAATATATATATACACACACATGTCTCGTATATATGTACGTATGTTTATACATGTATACACAATGAAAATACATAAAAATATGTATATATACACCTATACGTATGGATATAAATGTACAAATATATATGTACTTTTTAAATCTATGTCTGCTTAATTATGTATATGCATATACATATGAAATTATATATACATTATCCCTATTTATATCTTTATATTCACATATGTATATATATTTATTTATAGTTTTATTATATATACACATATATGTATACATCACATGTATATATTATATATACACGCACACACATATACATGTGTGCGTGTGTGTATGTATGTATGACCGACATGCAGAGTGAAAGAGAAATATATATATGTGCACGCGTGCGCACACGTGCGTGTATATATGTGTGTATGTATATGTTTGTATGTATGTATGACAGCCATGCAGCTGCTGCGGCTTCGTTGCTGAAGGAGGGCCAGAGCCTACCCTGATCGGAGACGGAGCTCGAGCAGAGGCTGACAGCGAGCAGAAGCTGACCCTAAGCCAAGGATGACCTTGAGCAGAGGCTGACCCCAAGCGGAGGAAGCTATCTCTAAACGGAGATTAACCAGGGGCGGAGGAGGCTGACTCTAAGCGGAGGCTGGCCCCAAACCGAGGTCGAGGATAACTGTATGCTCCTCGCCCGGCGCCGCAGCGTCCTTCAGGGTAAATGGGATCCTGAGGACGCCGTCGCTTCGGCCGCCCTTGAGGGGGGGGGGGTGAGAAAATTTTGGGCCTTTGTTACCGGGGCAAATATGGGGAATAGGTTGTGGGTAAGTGTGAATTTACGCATACATACATACACACACATATATATAGGCAAATAAATATATATCTATATATCTAGAGAGAGGGACATATTTATAAATAAATGAATATACATATCTATTGAGAGTGAGGGAGAATATACATATATGTGTGAATACACACACATGCGCACACACAAATATATGTTGTATGGGTATGTATATATACATATATATATACGTATAGTGTATATTTATACATATATATTTATATATAAACATGCATACACACATGTATATGTATATATATGCATATGTATGTATATGTATATATATGTATATGTATATATATGTATATAAAAATATATACGGATACATGTGTAAATATCTATGTAAACAAATAAACATAAATCATATATATAGAGAGAGGGAGAGTATACATATGTGTATGTGTCTGTACACACACACATATATGTATGTATACATATGCATACATATATATATATGCATATGAAACATATGTGTGTATGTATATGTATGCATTATATACATACATATATATACGTATATATGTATATTTATTCATATATATGTATATTCATACATATATATAAACATAAATACGTGTGTATATGTATATATATGCATATATATAAATATATATGTACATATATGTATGTATATAGACACACGGACATATATATATACATACAAATATATATATATGAACAAATATATATAAATATTAATAAATCAACATATATATACACATGTATATATATATGCATATTTATACATACACGCATATATATGTATATATATATGCACACACATATATATACCCATTTACTGTATGTTTGTTTATCTATATAGGAGGTGGTTGACTCCAAGCGGAGGCTGACCTCTAGCGGAGGAGGCTGACCGAAGTTGATCCCGAACGGAGGAGGCTGACTCTAAGAGGAGGCCGACCACGAGCGGAGGAGGGTGACCCCGTGGAAGCTTCAAACAACATGGTCGTCTTTGCACTGGACTGAATTAATTTGCTGTTCCTTCTATCGGTATTTGACAATGATTTTGCCTCATAACCACTCATAAATAAATCGTTGTCTACTTTAATCAAGAGAGTGTTTAATCATCATCATACCAATTTCCATGTCCATACACTAGGAAATGATGAATCACTGGACCTTGAGCCGTTTCGTGATTGGCTGCGGGCGGGAACGTCACCGTCTTGGGTGCTATAAAAGAGCCGACTGCCGTCGTTTGGCCACAGTCGCCTGTGATTCCAGAGGATATGAAGACCCTGGTGAGTGTCGGATGTATTTGAGCGAATATCAGTGTAGCCGATTCACTGGAGTTCATTGTTGAAAGTGAAAGCTCACGTATATTTAAATTGGTTTCTTTTACAAGAATGTATTTATGTAAAAACTGATAACCTCCATCGTCTTTAGACAATTGATTAACGTGGAAATGACTTCCCTGCAGGTTATCGCAGCTGCCCTCTTGGCGTTTGCCAGTGTCAGTGTCAGCGGTGATCCTGAAGCTGATGCTGAGCCCAGCCGCTATGGAGGTGGCTTTGGAGGCCATGGACTTGTGTCCTACAGACCCGTGTATAGCAGCTACGGATACGGACGCTGGAAGAGGAGTGCTGAGGCTGAGCCTGTAGCTGAAGCTGAGGCTGAGCCCGAAGCTGATCCTTCCCGCTTCGGATACGGCTATGGCAGCTATGGACACGTGTCCTTCAGGCCCGTGTACAGCAGCTATGGATACGGACGCTGGAAGAGGAGTGCTGAGGCTGAACCTGTAGCTGAGGCTGAGCCCGAAGCTGATCCTTCCCGCTTCGGATACGGCTATAGCAGCTATGGACACGTGTCCTTCAGGCCCGTGTACAGCAGCTATGGATACGGACGCTGGAAGAGGAGTGCTGAGGCTGAGCCTGTAGCTGAGGCTGAGCCCGAAGCTGATCCTTCCCGCTTCGGATACGGCTATGGCGGCTATGGACACGCGTCCTACAGGCCCGTGTACAGCAGCTATGGTTACGGACGCTGGAAGAGGAGTGCTGAGGCTGAGCCCGGATTCAGCTTCGGTCGCGGCTTCGGAGGTCACGGTCGCTTCGGAGGCTACAGGGGCTATGGAGGCTACGGCGGGAGCTTTGGAGGACATGGTCGTTTCCATGGCTGAAGAATTTTGGTTCGAGAAAGATGAATTAAACTGAGCAATTTCATTTGTGATTTCTTTTTCCTTTACACACTCGCCATTTCAATTACTACATATGTGACACACAAAGTATGTGTAAAAATCCAGTTTACCTACATATACAAAGTTAACATTAGTCATGCACAAGAGAACTGGGAATCACAACACCGAAAATCGTGATTCGTTTAATCTGAATTCAGAGTTGTTTCTTTTTACTTCAAACTGAAAAAAACAAGTCGAAATACAAATTCAAGAAAATGCAAACACAGCAAACATACGGAAAAATTACTATACATAGATATTTGATCGAAAAAAAGAAAGCGAGAAGTGAGTGATAAACAGCATTGATATGAAAGTAAATAAATAAATAGTGTTTCATTGTGCATAAAAAGGAAATTTTTCTTCAGATTCCTCTGAGGAGCAGTATATATATGTATACTTCATACACAGACATATATACGCACATGTATATATACATATACATACACATACATATGTGTGTGCATATACATGTATGTGTATGTGTATATATACACACATCTATATATGGATATAAATATATATACACATATATATGTATATATCTATACATATATACTCACAAGTGTATATGTATATACATACATATACATGAATATTTATGTATATATATACTCGTATATATGTGAATATATACATATATACATATATGTGCTTGAAAATATATGAATAATATATAAGCATATATACATGAATATATATACATATATGTACATATACGTATGTGTCTTGTATATGTCTATATATATGTACATTCCTATACATAAAAATATGTATATATACATATACATATTGGTATATATGCATATATATACATATATTATTTTGTATATATATCTGTATAATGATATATATGCATACACATATGAATATGAATATATATACAGCATCCATATATATATACACACATCTTTACACACACATTATATATGCTATATATACTAAATATACACACACACGTGCACATAAATATATGTGTATGTATGGATGGATGACCGACATGCAGCTGCTGAGAGATGTGTATGTGTGCGCGCGCGTGCGTGTATATGTGTGTATGTTTGTATGGCCGACATGCAACTGCTGCGGCTTCGAATGCTGAAGGATTGCTGGAGAATACCCCGATCGAAGGCTGAGCGCGAGTCGAGGTTGACAACAAGCGGAAGCTGATCCCGTCAAGGTTGACCTTGAGCAGAAGCTGACTTTAAACGGAAGTTGACCCGGAGCGGAGGCTGACTCTAAACGGAGGCTGATCACGGGCGGAGGAAGCTGATCCCAAACCGAGGCTGACAATATGCAGATGTTAACCCCGGGCAGAGGAGGCTGACCCCAAACCGAGGCTGACAATATGCAGATCATGACCTCGGGCAGAGGAGACTGACCCCAAACCGAGGCTGACCCCGAGCAGAGATGGCTGACAATAAGCAGAGGTTGACCCCGAGCGAAGGAGGCTGACCCCAAATCGAGGCCTACCCCGAGTGGAGGCTAACTCTAAGTGAAAATGGTCGTCTCTACGCTGGGCTGATAGTTTAATTTGTTGTTCCTTCTATCAGTATTCGACAATGATATTGCCTCCAAACCTCTTGTAAATACGTCGTTGTCTACTCTAGTAAAGAGAGCGTTAAATCACAATCATCAATTTCCTTGTCCATACACGAGGAAATGGTGAATCATTCTGGACACATATCCCTAAGGTGTGAACTCCAGGAAATACAATTTTGATCCCTTGAACTCAACCCTTGCCCTTCGAAGCAGATTGACCTTGAGCCGTTTCGCGATTGGCTGTAGGCGGGAGCGTCAGCGTCTCGCGTGCTATATAAAAGCCGACCGCCGTCTTTTGGACACAGTCGCCTGTGATTCCCGACGGATATGAAGACCCTGGTGAGTGTTGCATTTCTTTGGGCGGATCTCAGCGTTCATCATTGATCTGAAGTTCAATTCTGAATAAGTTCATGAGGTTTGCACAAATATAACATCAAAGTTTAATGCTGATTAAGTTCATGAGGTTTGCACAAATATAACATCAGAGTTTACTGCTGAAAGAGAAAGCCCACGTAGATTTAAATTTATTTCATTTATAGAAATTTATGTAAAGACGAATGGCCTCCATGGTCTTCAGGCGTATGAACTATCGCGGAAATGGCGTTCTTGCAGGTCATCGCAGCTGCCTTCGTGGCGTATGTCGCTGTCAGTGTCAGCGGTGATGCCGAAGCTGATGCTGAGCCCAGCCGGTATGGAGGTGGCTTTGGAGGCCATGGGCTCGTGTCCTACAGGCCCGTGTACAGCAGCTACGGATACGGACGCTGGAAGAGGAGTGCTGAGGCTGAGCCCGAAGCTGATCCTTCCCGCTTCGGATACGGGTATGGCGGCTATGGGCACGTGTCCTACAGGCCTGTGTACAGCAGCTTCGGATACGGACGCTGGAAGAGGAGTGCTGAGGCCTGAGCTGGTGAGGGAGGGGGCTGAGCCCGAAGCTGATCCTTCCCGTTTCGGATACGGCTATGGCAGCTATGGACACGTGTCCTTCAGGCCTGTGTACAGCAGCTACGGATACGGACGCTGGAAGAGGAGTGCTGAGGCTGAGCCCGGATTCAGCTTCGGTCGCGGCTTCGGAGGTCACGGTCGCTTCGGAGGCTACAGGGGCTATGGAGGCTACGGCGGGAGCTTTGGAGGACATGGCCGTTTCCATGGCTGAAGAATTTTGGTTCGAGAAAGATGAATAAAACTTAGCAATTTAATTTATCTTTTTTTTTTTTTTTTTTTTTTTTTTTTTTTTTTACACACTCACCATCTCAATTACTGCATCTGAGATACACATATACAGTTTACATTCATATACATTAGATTAGTTATAGTTTAGAGAAATAGGAATCACAACGGAAATCCTGATTCCTGTAATTTGAATTTAGATTTGTTTTTCCTTTTACTCTAAACTGAAAGAAACGTCGAAAGAAGTGTACACATCCTTTAATGAATTTGGAAAGGTATCATACGCAAAAATGATTACGCAGATAGCTGACCACAAAAAAAGAAAAAGAAATATATAAACATGAAACTATAACAATTCATAATAATAATAATAAGATAAAATAACACCCCAAAAGGAATAGAACGGGTGTGAAAAGTGAATGATAAACAGTAATAAATACAAGTGTTTCATTGTGCATGAAAAGGAAAGTGTTTTCTTCAGATTTCACTGAGGGGCAGTATATATAAGCATACACTCAAACGCATACATATACGTTCATAAATGAGTATATATATATACACATCTATATATAAACATAAATACATATGCATGTGTATACATATATCTATACAAACATATATATATAATATATATACACAAATGCGTATATGCATATATATATACACACACACATATATATGTATATATACATATATATGTGTGTGTGAGCGTGTATGTGCATATATACATGCGTAAAAAAGAATATATATATATTTATATATACATATATACACGAATATATATACATGTAATACATATATACACAAACACATATACACATATATGTACACATGTAGGTATGTATCTTATGTATATTTACGTATGTTTAAATATACATATAAATAAGAATATGTATATATACCTATACATATATATAGGTATATATACATGTTTATTTCATATCTGTTTAATTATATAAATCCATATACATATGAATATATATATAAACAATATCCATATAGGTATCTTTATATGTATTATGTATTATGTATTAAATATACATATATATAATATATATGTATATATAATTCACATATGTGTATAAAGATATTTATATGAATATTGTTTATATATAAACATACACATGACCAACATGCAGCTGCTGAGTGAATGAGAAATGTGTTTATGTGCGTGCGCGCGCGTGCGTGTGTGTATATTTGTATGTATGTATGACCGATATGCAGCTGCTACGGCTTCGAGTTCTGAAGGACTGCTGGAGAATACCCTGACCGGAGGCTGAGCTCGAGCGGAGGAGGCTGACTCTAAACGTAGGTAAACCCGGGGCGGAGGAGGCTGATTTTAAATGGAGGATGACCTCAAACCGAAGCTGACCGCGAGCAGATGAGGCTGACAATTAGTAGATGTTGACCTCGAGCGAAGGAGGCTGACCCCAAACCCTGAGCAGTGAGCAGAGGTGGCTGATAATAAGCAGAGGTTGACCTCGGGCAGAGGAGGCTGACCCCAAACCGAGGCTGATCCTGAGCAGAGGTGGCTGATAATAAGCAGAGGTTGACCTCGGGCAGAGGAGGCTGACCCCAAACCGAGGCTGATCCTGAGCAGAGGTGGCTGATAATAAGCAGAGGTTGACCTCGGGCAGAGGAGGCTGACCCCAAACCGAGGCTGATCCTGAGCAGAGGTGGCTGATAATAAGCAGAGGTTGACCTCGGGCAGAGGAGGCTGACCCCAAACCGAGGCTGATCCTGAGCAGAGGTGGCTGATAATAAGCAGAGGTTGACCTCGGGCAGAGGAGGCTGACCCCAAACCGAGGCTGATCCTGAGCAGAGGTGGCTGATAATAAGCAGAGGTTGACCTCGGGCAGAGGAGGCTGACCCCAAACCGAGGCTGATCCTGAGCAGAGGTGGCTGATAATAAGCAGAGGTTGACCTCGGGCAGAGGAGGCTGACCCCAAACCGAGGCTGATCCTGAGCAGAGGTGGCTGATAATAAGCAGAGGTTGACCTCGGGCAGAGGAGGCTGACCCCAAACCGAGGCTGATCCTGAGCAGAGGTGGCTGATAATAAGCAGAGGTTGACCTCGGGCAGAGGAGGCTGACCCCAAACCGAGGCTGATCCTGAGCAGAGGTGGCTGATAATAAGCAGAGGTTGACCTCGGGCAGAGGAGGCTGACCCCAAACCGAGGCTGATCCTGAGCAGAGGTGGCTGATAATAAGCAGAGGTTGACCTCGGGCAGAGGAGGCTGACCCCAAACCGAGGCTGATCCTGAGCAGAGGTGGCTGATAATAAGCAGAGGTTGACCTCGGGCAGAGGAGGCTGACCCCAAACCGAGGCTGATCCTGAGCAGAGGTGGCTGATAATAAGCAGAGGTTGACCTCGGGCAGAGGAGGCTGACCCCAAACCGAGGCTGATCCTGAGCAGAGGTGGCTGATAATAAGCAGAGGTTGACCTCGGGCAGAGGAGGTTGATTTTAAATGGAGGATGACCTCAAACCGAAGCTGACCGCGAGCAGATGAGGCTGACAATTAGTAGATGTTGACCCCGAGTGAAGGAGGCTGACCCCAAACCGAGGCTGATCCTGAGCAGAGGTGGCTGATAATAAGCAGAGGTTGACCTCGGGCAGAGGAGGCTGACCCCAAACCGAGGCTGATCCTGAGCAGAGGTGGCTGATAATAAGCAGAGGTTGACCTCGGGCAGAGGAGGCTGACCCCAAACCGAGGCTGATCCTGAGCAGAGGTGGCTGATAATAAGCAGAGGTTGACCTCGGGCAGAGGAGGCTGACCCCAAACCGAGGCTGATCCTGAGCAGAGGTGGCTGATAATAAGCAGAGGTTGACCTCGGGCAGAGGAGGCTGACCCCAAACCGAGGCTGATCCTGAGCAGAGGTGGCTGATAATAAGCAGAGGTTGACCTCGGGCAGAGGAGGCTGACCCCAAACCGAGGCTGATCCTGAGCAGAGGTGGCTGATAATAAGCAGAGGTTGACCTCGGGCAGAGGAGGCTGACCCCAAACCGAGGCTGATCCTGAGCAGAGGTGGCTGATAATAAGCAGAGGTTGACCTCGGGCAGAGGAGGCTGACCCCAAACCGAGGCTGATCCTGAGCAGAGGTGGCTGATAATAAGCAGAGGTTGACCTCGGGCAGAGGAGGCTGACCCCAAACCGAGGCTGATCCTGAGCAGAGGTGGCTGATAATAAGCAGAGGTTGACCTCGGGCAGAGGAGGCTGACCCCAAACCGAGGCTGATCCTGAGCAGAGGTGGCTGATAATAAGCAGAGGTTGACCTCGGGCAGAGGAGGCTGACCCCAAACCGAGGCTGATCCTGAGCAGAGGTGGCTGATAATAAGCAGAGGTTGACCTCGGGCAGAGGAGGATGACCTCAAACCGAAGCTGACCGCGAGCAGATGAGGCTGACAA